AAATAAATAAATAAATAAATAAGATAGAAAATCTGAAATAAATATCTTGCTTCATTTCTACTGTGGATTGTGCTAAGAGGAGGATGCCTAATGAAGGGACTGGGGGAAGATGATCTTATACACATGTATGAACTTTGATTAATTTTAAACCTGTAAGGTTAAATCCACATTTTGTCATACATAAGAGTAAAGCAATTTAATTCAATTGGTTTTAAGTTAGCCATGACTCACTTAAGACACACAGATTTCAATGGCATTATTGCAACCATGAGTCCGAATCATCCCATTAATTACAAGCAGGAGCACTCCAAATTTCTTATTCAAGGCAACATTTTAATTTTACAAATGTTGTCAGAATCTATAACTGAGCATCTTATGCTGCAAAATGCTGTCCTATATCTTTGTTATCTGGTCTGTTTTAATCAGGCAAATAGACAAATACAGGGCTGATAAGCAAGGTGGGAAGGATCTTGGAAAATGGTCATACTAAAGCAAAACACAATTGATATAAGTCTTCGTGAAAAAAGGACTCCATGAACTCAGATGAGAGTTTTCATACAGCTAGACATTAAGAGAGTTAACACCTGAGTTGTAAACAGTCACCTACTGACCTACCTGCCTATGCAAGTAAGCTTTGCCTCAAGGCAACTAGATAAGGAGACTGAGGCAGGCTCAACACCACACCCTACCCACCTTTTAGGCTGCCTTTTTCTGTTTATATTTGGGAGCAGCCTCATTAAAAGCAAACAAAGGGATCAGGTATGGGAATATCTGCCAGTCTGAAAAAAAATTCCTCTTCATACCAGATGGAAGCCAAACTCAGAAAATGAATGAAAAACCTATTTGCATACATACAGATTTTGTAAATATTGGATTCTGGTTCTAGGTGAACTCCTAGAGTAATTGTGGATGAAAGTTAAGGCACTTGAAACACCGATTTATTCTGCCACCAGCCTAGAGGTTTTGGCAGTAATTTCTGATAAAAGTTATTCATGTGTATAGATCATTAAGAATCCGAATCCATAACTAAGTAGATACATTCTTACCACAGTGTGACAAGGAACAAACTACAGTACTAAAACCTACCTTTTTTTAAATCTCCAACTATTTCAAGCTTATTGAAGTGTTCATTATTATTTTGGAGATATGTGACAGCCACAGATAACAATTCAGATTGAATTCCATCTCCCCACTCCCCCCTTTTCCCAAATTGCAGCCAGCTCAGTGAGACCATCAAAGCTGCTGTAAAGAAGAACAATGTGTTTATAGCACAGAATAAATTGCAGCTATAATTTAAAGCCATCAGCTAAGTTATCATAAAAATGCAGCACAATCCAGTATGAAATTCAACTGTTGTTACATTAGCCAGATGCTTTCAATGGAATTAATATGGCGCTTTTGTTTTGTAGCATTCAGGCTAATATACCTATTGAAATAAGTCTTTATCAAAAGCAGGCATATATTTTTCTCACTGTAATTTCTTTTGAAGTCAATTGATTACATTACATGAAGCATCACAGCAGCAGATGTTTATGGCGTGCCTGATTGGTTTGATTTTTTAAAAAACTAAAATTAGAGTTTCAACTACTACATAGCAAAATCAGTCATTTTAATGACCTCCGTATTCTTCTTGATCAGGTTTTCACAGCAAGAACATCATAATCAGGTCAACTACTTCAGTCATAAAAGCTGCAAATTATTGCTTGCAAATCAAGCCCAGTGATGATTCCTGAAATGCTTTCCAAAGAGCCAGCCAGCCAGAGATGCAGTCCCTGCTCAAGCTGAGAAGCTATCAGATGAAAAGAAGCAATGTCGGGTGGGGAAAAGGGGGAGGGCAATGACCTACTTCAAAGAGGCAGGGTGAGGAAGGACAGGAAGAGGTTGCAGCCATTCACTGCAAAAGCGGAGACCACCACCACCAGCAGCACTACTAATGCCCACAAACAACACAGAAAGCAAAGCTCCCAAAAATCACATGGAACACTGCTGATGCTATGCAGAGACACTGATACCTGAGTCCTTTCTTAGGCAAAGTGTTCCTATCAAGATGTGGGTCGCTGTAGAAAAGTTAAAAGAAAAAGAACTTCAGAGAAGAAAGTAAAGGGAAGATTAAAGATCAGCTTGAAAGAGAGGAGAGTTTACTGTTAAAACAGCGGCTGCATCATGGCACTGGAACAGACAGCAAAGGGCCCTGCCAAGCCAGCATGCAAACACCTTCTGATCGCAGGTGGACTGTGTTATATAGAACATGCACCAGGAACCATGCTAAATAAAGCCAACCCCAAAGCCTTGGACCTCCGATCTAGTTAACTGGTTTTAAGCACTTTTATGTGACTGTTCATAGTCATTTGAAGATCTGAGATCAGAATGACTTCGATTTATTTTCCGCTGAAGCGACTAGAACAGATTTTCCTCAAAACAAAGGGTGCACATTTCAAATGAAGTCTCTGAGAATAGAGGGAGCACTAAAATAGGAGCTTAGTGGGCAACTTTGTTGATACTCCAAAAAGCATGCCTCCAAAACTCCATCTATTTTTCCTGAGTTTCGTAATTTTCAAATGAGTTTAATTGGTAAAATGTATTTGGAAGGTGAAAAAAGGTTGTGTGACATGGGAAATCAGCACACCCTTGGAATTCCACTTACTACAGCTTTTTAATTTTCTGTGGAGAAGGACTATCATGCAGGCAGGCTATGGTGCAGGTCACACAGGATATTTACCTCAGAAGCAAAGAACAACTCTCCTGTACTTTTCAAAACACGAAATCTGAAGATTTTGGTTTCTGATTGCACGTAAGAGAGCCTTAGTTCTGTTCTAGATATGTATGCTTGTAAAAAGCACAATATAGTTTTGTTTTTATGAAGATATCATTGATGTGCATTGGTCACCTTGCTATATATTATGATGTAACTTAAAAGTGTAAATGCTCCTAAAATAGGCTACATTTTAAAATTTAATCTTGAATAATACCTCCAAGTTATGAGCATTGGAAACTGTCTGAAAAGACTTCCTCACTCTGAAGTTCTTTTGTCCCTCTCTTTCAGTCTTAAATTGTGCCAGTGCAAAAGACAGCAAGAATTACATTCATTTTGTTATGACCAGTTACTGGGAGTCAGATGAATACAGCACAGACAACAGCAACAGCACTTCCAGTGCATCACCAAATACAGACAAATTTGCTCCCTGGCATTCATATTTACAAAGCAGCGCATACACACACACACACACACATACAAACATACAAAGACACATACCCATAACACAGATGGAAGCCTACAAGACTCCCACGAGCCAAAGTGAGGTGAACAATTTATGAGAGAAACATATTTCAGCCACTCAGGAAAGGATGGGACAGGAGAATCAAGACAAAGTTAGTACAGCTTTAAACATGGGGGGAAGCAGCATGCCACCAGAATGCTGAAATGCCAGTGAGAGTTTACATGGATAAATATGACATGTCATTAGAAATAAATAATTATTTTTGTTGTTGGGAGAGTAGCAACACACTATGTTTCTCAGAGTAAATACTGTATGAGACATAATGCCATTAGAGGGACTCTCACTGACACACCTTTGAGTGGAACTTTACATATTTCACTGAAACACACAAACACACACACACTTCTTCACTAAGCACAGTCTTGCACAATACACTTTGGTTTCTTAGATGCCACAGCGAAACCTTTTGATCTTGTGCATTCTACTGCCTTGAGACAGTATTACCTGTCCTGCCTCCTCGGTAAAGTATTTCTGCAGAATTTGGGACTAGCAGCAGGGGAAGAGAGAGGGCTAGAAGAATAAAGTCCAACAAGACAGAAAAACAAAAGAAAACAACATCAACAACAACAAAAAGAGAGGAATATTAGCACAAAAGGAAGAAAGGGAAAGAGCTGTTTAACAAAAATAACTATCATAAGTTTTCAACAACTGTTTTCTCCTGTAGAGCCATCGAAAATTAGAAGGCTCTGGCATTGATGTAAGGTTATAAAGCTTCAAAATGTGTCACACTCCTGTTGCTTTCTCTGAAGTTACGTTTAAGGCCAATTCAAGCGTCTTCATTTTGCAGCTTCATAGCCACACAGCAAGTGACTGCCTGAATTGAACGAGATGGTCTCATTTTCCAGGGGAATGCACATTGTGACAGGGGCCCTGAACAAGTAGATAAGATTGTCATTCATGGCCATAGCACAAGGTCAGCAGATCTGGTGTCTTCATCTTACAGGGCCCCCATCATATGGCATCCCATTCCAGTAGCAATAAAGCAGGTGCTTTGACTAGACTTGTAACTGTGCAATGAAGAATCAAGATGGCTCTGCTAGGAAAGCTCGGGATTGGATCAAAAAATTTTCAGGTGGTAAAAGGGCACAGTGGTACAAGATGCATTCAATATTAAACTAGTGTTTCAAAGTATGTAACAAGTATTTCACACACAGCACTTCAGTAATTTTCATCCCCGTACAACATTATTTCTGTTCTCACGTTAAGAATGGAGGACTGAGGCTGCTCAATAGTGACTAGCCTACTAAGTTTATAATGGAGGTGATCTGTGAACTACAGTGTTCCCAATTCTCTTGAACCTTATCCTTTGACACTTCTTGCACCTAGAGCTCTACTTAACTGGACCTTTTGCTATTTCATTTGCCCATTTTTTAAAAAATGCACTGTATGTTGATATGATCCTAGCTGGGATTTGGGAGGTGGCAAAGTGGGAAACTGGCTAGTGGAGATCACATGAGCAACTGCAATTTGCAAGTGTGGCTCAGGGAAAAAAAAGCATAGACTTCATAGTTCCAGCCTTATCTCAAGATGTATTTCAATAATGTTATTCATTGCCACAATTTCATGGGCAGGGGCCAGAGTGTAAAATATTTCAGTTTCACTCAGCCAGTTCATGTATGTAGAGGTTCTTTCATTTTTTAAAAAAAATATATAGAAATTTGGGAACACATAGGATTTAGGTTTCAGAAATTCCTTGAGTGGTTTTACAAGCTGGGATAAAGGAGATACATGCCATTTTTCACCATAAAGTTTTGTACACTTCTTTAATATCAATAAGTTTCTGAAAAGATTAAGTGTGGTACTGATCTACTGGACCCTAGAGTAACCTGTATTTACAGAAGAATAGAGTCCTCCTCTTTCAACCTCCATGCCTCCCAGAAGAAAATCAACCTGAGCAACAATATTTAGGTCAGACTTATCTGGTACCCTTAATAACACTTTCCCTCAGTGGGATGTACACCCAAATAAACATGTTAGGATTGAGCTCCACATCACAGAAATCACACATATATATCTGAAATATGGGCAGATATGGCAGAAATGTTCTGAATATTGTCCTCACCTTTCTGACAATGTTGTCTTAACGCTATTGGTTCTAACAAAGGGAGTTAACGAGTCATCCTTGGAAGCCGCAATCAAACCACTGGAAGAGTTGTGACTCAGCCCACCTCCACTGCTGAGAGAAATATCGATGGATTCACAACTGGTGTGCAGGCTGCTGACAGACTGGTATCCAATCCCATCCTTGCTAACAGCAGAACTACTACTGGGATTAGTGCCCCAGGTTAAGCTGTTGGAAGGAGCTGAATGAGCTGAGCTGGGACTAGAAGCTAATGGAGACTGATTCATGTCTGCATTTTTACTATAGAGAGGACTACTACCGCCACTGCTGAGTATGCCACTGCCAGAAGGAGAATCCAGGTTCCCCTGTTGGTTCATGGTTGCATGTGGGTTGGAGATGACCACGGAATTTTTCATGTTTTCAGCTGTCGTGATGGGAGCTTGCTTACTAGGCTTTCCACCAAAAAGTCTGAAGAGGGATGGAAATAAAAGAAAAAAGAAAAAAAGAGAAAAGTCAGCAAACACACTCAAAATATCCAGAAGCAATGTGACATCTGAGCTTAAACTTAAATGAGTATTTAATTCAGCTCAATTTCAGAAGAGGTGATTTAGAATGATGGGGTTAACTATGGACTTTTCTTGAGCTAATGCATTTTAAGGAAAGGAATTCATTTAAAACCCCATGAGTTTGTGTGTGTGAATGAACAGATGTAAACCCATCTTGGATGCTGAATGCTTAAGTAAAGCACTCCCAAATTAAAAAAAAAAAAGCTGTACCTACCTGCGCAAAGTGGGGGAGGCCACATCTGGATATTTCACCCCTTGCTGGTGAGCACTCTGGGACACATTCAAAGCTGCCTGAGATGCCGGGTTCACCTTTACAGAACTGCAAGAGACCACACTTTCATTGTCTGATGAGATCCCTTTCTCCTTGTCAGTCTGGTTGACTAATCCTGGCAGAGAGCTCCCAAGAGCAACTTTCGTTGGCTCTCTCATTTTAGGAACAGGCAAGCCTGCTGACTTGCTGCTTATGTTGGAGTCTATACTGCTGGTGCTAGATCTATTTCCAGCTCCACTCCTGCTGCTGGATTTGCTGGGTCTAGGTAAACTCCGGTACTGAAGGTTGGTTCGGGTATTAATGGCTAAGTAACCGTCATCTTGATTCTGTGAGCCATCAACACTAGTCTTCCGACCAGTGGATCTCCCCATGAGTCCAGATGATTTGGGGATTTTTCCCAAAGTAGCAGATCTACTAGTGATAGTTGCCCCACTAGCTGTTATCATGGTCATGCCTACAGCTGGTCCACTCTGTTTCTTAAATCCAAAAGTATTTGTATTAGCAGCAGCTGTTCTGCAGTTGTTTGCTGAAGGCTTCTTTGATTCATCACCACTGCTACGTCCAGCATCTGAAGGGGAGCGTTTAATGTGTCCAGATTTCGGAGAAATTCTGCCTTTTTCCGATACCTTGGCATCATCAGTTTTCCCTACAAAAATGAAGAACAAGCTTCATGGCGACAAAATACTATGCATATATTGCAAAGAAGACATAAAACGTTTGAGCACATGAGCCACAAGGCTTTGTGGAAGTACTTGACATTTTCATATACAACAACAAATCAAGAGTATCATACATTGATATGTCAGAGAACAATTCAAACATAAAGGGCTTTTCCCAGTGGCTGTTCCCAAGTTCTGAAACTCCCTACTGAGAGAGGCTAAGCTATTGCCTCTCTGCCAGCCTTGCTTCTGCAAGCAAAGCCCTTTTTGTCTGGACAGGCATTTGGCAACTGATCTCACTTGCTGCTGAAGAGGCTTCTAACAAAGTGGGTGGTGTTTAATTTTATACTAGTACATTGTAAAATTGCGTTTGAATGTTTTGTGTTTGTGTTCCTTTTATGTTTCAGTTGCATTTGCTCCATTTAACAGAAGGCTGGCTTGATTCTCATTCATAGGGGAAACCCAGCATATAAATCAAGTAAGTGCACAAATACATGTTTAATCTTGAACATTCAAAGGTGGGTGGACAGACTTCTATAAACCACATGAAGAACAGAACACAATTTCCAGAGGCTTTTGAACCAATGAGCGAAAGAAGTAAAAAGGGAGCAGTCTTGACTGATTAACTTATTTTTTGCAAAATAGGTAACAAGGATGCAAAACTGTTGTTCCTCTGAGACTGATGGATGTTACTGACATAAAACCTAGTGCTAGAGCAGGAGGGGAAGTCTTCATTTCCCCACTGCCAGCATCAGTGGAATCAGTGGGAATACACTCTTCGTCCTGAATTATTAACAACTGCTAGGACATCGGAGAAAGAGGAGGAAACTGTAGACCTAGAGTTACAGGAATAAGCACCTCCATGCTCCATTGTGGGGAATAGACTTAAAAAGAAAACATACTGCTTCCTCTCCAAACAGTCCAAAATGTTTCACTAGAACAGGTGAAAGAAAAGTGAGGACTTCCAGATGTTGCTGAACTACAATTTTCATTAACCCAAGTCAACACTGCTCATCATGAGGGATGACAATCCAACAATATTTGGAGAGCCACAAGATCCTCATTTCTGCTCTAGAAGCTCCCTTCCCAAAGGCAAAGGGCTCCTTCCAGACCAGCTATGACCAGAGTGAGGAACAGATGGGTCTCTTTGATTCTTAGAAGAAACAGTACAAGAATGACAAAGAACTGCATCCAGATGGAATCTTTTGCCCATGATTTAACACCTATTCAGAAAAAGCAGCTCTTTTGCTGCTCCTGTTCACACTGTCTGCCTCTGGGTACGTATCTCCCTTCATATGCTGTGGATTACCAGATAACAGCTTAGATGCACTACCAATGAGATGGAATGAGAAAAGAGAACATTCTGTTATGGAAGGCTTTCCCCCCTGCATCTAATCCAATGAGGGACTTGCCCTGTGCTGAAGGGTACCTGTGCACCAGACATTCTCTCACCAGAATTAATTCAAGGAGAAAAAAAAACAGTGTTGGTAGAGGAAATGAGTCATAACAGAAGGATCTGATACATCCTTGGTGCCATATGCAACCTTAGACACATTTTAATTAAACTGAAAGTACATTTTAAAAAACTAGTTGGCTTTAAGCGAGTAATAATGTAATCAATGACATAAAGATAAAAATAAACTAAGTCTTCAGATTAATAAGCACATTCAAGAAATTTAAGAGTATTTTGCTTACCACATACATTGGCCCAAGACATACATATATTACTCTGATAGAAAGAATAGTGACTCAGCATCACTGTTGGCAGGATCTATTTAATTTGGCAGAACTACACAAAGGCGAAGACTTACTGCACTGTTCTCTATCTAAGACAGGCACAGATCAAAATGCACTTGAAATTCTGACAGCACAGAGGACTTTTTTATTCCTAACAGTGTAAAGTCTTGGCCTGTATTGCTAGTTTCTTGGCTCTGCATTCCTCACCTGTTCCAGGTGTCTTCAACGTTCCTGCAGTGGCTGCTGTTTTTGTCCTTGGTGCGGTAATGCCAACCTGAGCCGACATGCCCCGTCTCCAGGAACCTGTCTGTGAGATGACTGTGTTTTTCCTTCCAGAAGTGCTTTTATCAGATTCATCAGACACATCAGACGGATTCCTTCTCCATTTTGAGCCAGGCTCCATTTTTACACCACTGTCTGAACCGCCATCTGATTTTTTAACTTCATCACCAGACCACAAGGAATTCCGCTCCACTTGGGAATGCTTTTCGGCATCAGTCTGAAGGGGGAAGCAGCAAATTATAAGCTTCCATTGCAAACCTTTTCATCCTCTAGGATTCAAAATCAAATCTTTGAAAAATTCACTGATTCTTATGGATTATTCTTTAGCGCCCCCCCTCCATTTTACAGCCTTTCTGAAAAAATAATAAAAATAAACATCTCCAAGCAATAATTATTACCTAAATTTCATATTTAAATAATTTAAGCAACATAAACAGCCACAACACAAAATAATGGAAGATTTTATGAAATGGAACAATGTCTCTTGCTGCCATGCAGCTTTCTTATCCACACAGCACCTTTCCCTGCAAGGCACAAAATCACTTCAACTGTGTGTTGTGAGCTTTTCCTTTGTTCTGCCTTCCTATCTGCTGGCTGGCAATTTGATCTGTGGAGCATGAAGAGCCAGCTTTTTTTGTAAGACTGAAAGATAAATGAGTGCTTTCTGTTTCACCCTCACACTAACTTTATCATCAACTGAGGTGCGAAGTTTTCAGGATACATCTCCTAGTAAACAAAATTAGAATCTGTGCTCACCAAGAATCCCTTATTAAAAGATACAACTGTGTATTTCCCTATCACAATTAAATATATTTCTGTTTGGTCTAAACTTCTGTCATTTATGCTCCCCTTAACCCTACAATAACCAAGGGGAGGGGCTGTTAGCCAGAGTGTATTTTTTTATGTGAACTCTTTGTTTCACTCCCATTGGCTTCCTGATCCTTTCTACCATGATTTGCAATTCAGATTCCACACATGGAGACTAGAAAAGCTGTGAACCTGCTACTTATGTGAGAACCTAGAAGCGCAGATACTGAGAAAAATTGCTTCTTTGTCTACCCTGCCTTCCTGCCCTGCCTTGGTGTTTTAATGTTTGCCATTTGTGTATACATATACCTACATCTGTACATAGGAACATTTAAACACAGAAGAATCCCATTTTTTCTTCAGACAGCAGGCCTGATTATAAAAAATTAAAATTGATTTGATTCTTGAAATATTAAATCTTTGATCTACGTTTTTAAGTGTATTATTGTGCTAAAAATGCCCTCCAACTTTTGTGAGCCTCTTCAAAGGCTATAAAAGGGGCGGCAGCATTTTCTTCAGTGGAGTCAGAAACAGTAATGTCACAAGTAGGGTTTGCATGTTCAGATTGCTTGAACCTTTTCATTAACAGGGACAAGTGCAACATTTTCCATTCCCCTCAGGTGTTCCTGCTTCCTCTAAGCTAATATACACTTCTCACACTAGCAGGCAGTAAATTGATTCTCTTGTTTCAAGCTACGGTGGTGCCTTGACTTACGAACGCCTTGACCTACGAATATTTTGACTTACGAACAGCTCCGTTCGCAAAATTTTGCTTTGACTTGCAAACAGAGCTTTGACCTACAAACAAAAAAGGCAGGGGAAAGGGCAGGAAATTCAAACTGTTGGTGGCGAAGAGGCTGCTTCTTTGTAACTCTTTCTCCCCAATGGTTCGGGAAAGGGATGCGGTGGCGGCAGGGGTGGCTCAGCATCGGGAGGCTTGAGCCTGGCTGGGAGGCCATTTGAATTTCCTGGGCTGCCTCCCGGTGATGCCCGGCCTGGGCTCTGCCACCGCTACTAGGGAAGTGAGCAGTGGGGATAGACCCCGCACTGGGAGGTAGGAGCCTGGCTGGAAGGCCATTTGAATTTCCTAGGCTCCTGCCTCTCGGCGCAGGGTCTGTCTGCGCTACTTATTTATTTATTTATATATTTATTTGATTTATATCCCGCCCACCTGGTCTGGTCGACCACTCTGGGCGGCTTCCAATAAAGGAGTATACAATAAAATATAAGGATTTTACAAACAGTCTGTAACAGGTGCAGTAATATAACAAATAATAAATGAAAGGAAAAAAGAAATTAAGTATTGACAGGAGGGAAGGCTTGAACATACAACCATGTTTTTAGTTGGCTCTAAGTTGGCTTGCCTGGGCTCCACCCCTGCTACCTGGGAAGCGAGCAGCATGGACAGACCCCGTGCTGGGAGCAAGAGCCCAGCTGGGAGGTGATGCTTTTTCCTTTTTAAAAAAACTGTTCTGGGTGGGTTTTGGAGGATGGGTTTTGACTGGTGGGTCTGTGCTGTGTTGTTTTGTTTTTTTGAGATCTTTTTTTGGTTTTTTGCAGTCCCAGTGTGGGAGTTGCTCTGCTTATTTTTAGTTTTATTTTGGGTTTTTTTAAAAAAAATGCTGGAAAGGATTAATCCCGCTCCCATGCATTTCAATGGGAAATGGTGCTTTGACTTACGAACATTTTGACTTACGAACACCATTCCGTTACAGATTAAGTTCGTAAGTCAAGGCACCACTGTATCCCCGTTGTAATGCAAAATCTTCTGCTACAATGTGACCTTCAATGAGCAAATTAGACCCATTAGCTTTACAAAATATCTTTTACAGCATTTTGTAAATACCAGTTTATAAATACCAGTATTTTGTAAATACCCAGAGACCTTTGGGTAGTGTGGGCGGCATATAAGTTAAATAAATAAATAAATAAAATAGAGATGAAACTGCTACAGCTGGTTTGTTGCCATAAAAAACTAGCTGCCTGTATGTTTGGGCTTTGTTTAATGATACAGTTATGGGGGTTGTGAAAATGAGCACTCATCCTTCATGTAGCGCATATTACTATATCACAATGCTAAGTCATGATGTATTACTCCTCAGAGGGATTCTAGTTGGGTCTTTGGAAGCGTGTGATCACATTAACATAGTAAGTTTAAAGAAAAGGGGCTTTTTGGGTAGATGTCTCTCACATCTGAAAATGTTCTGATTTTATTTCAGTCCCCTGAAAATATATTGCATACCCCTCTTTTCCCCACCCAATTTATCTCTAGGCATCTAGGGACCAGAGCTTTCATATGAACCTGTTCATTGGGCTGTTGTTAAGACCTGCAGTTCATAAATGCAAGTTTGGAATTAAAATATTGGACACAACCTATTGCTCCCCTCACAAATGCACAAAAAATGCAAAATGAGTAAAGTTCCATTTATGGTTGTAGTGATTTATCATTCTAGTTAATAGGGCTTTTTAAAAATGGAAGAATCAAATTATATTTTGTAAGGAAGGTATGAACAAGCAACATCTTGCACAGTTACTCAGCGAAAGGAGCCAGGGCTTATTTTGAATGCCCCAGCACCCTGGGAGCAGTTAAATGAATCATTCAATCTCTGATTCATTTTTTGTGACATCCAAACCTAGTAAAACTCGACAAGACAGAGAAATAAACCTGGACCCAACCATAGTAAAATAAACTAAAGGAGCAACTGACAAGCCAGAGTGTCTGATCTTGCCAGATTTGGTCATTATGATAAAAAAAATAAAAATGGAACATCTACCACACGGGTGAGCAATTTCAGAAGGCAAGGGGATTCACTTTGGAGCCCTTGGATCATTCTGCCTCCCAAAACATATAAGATGTACAAAATTACAGATTAGAACTACAGTGGTGCCCCGCTTAACAATTACCCCACTCCACGATGAAATCACTTCATGACAATGTTTTTGTGATCACTTTTGCGACCGCAAAATGATGTTGAAATAGGAAAAAACGCTCGACGATGATCGGTCCCCTGCTTCGGGAACCGATTTTTTTTGCTTAACGAGGATCAGAAAACAGCTGATTGTCGGGTTTCAGAATGGCTCCCTGCTGTGCAAAATGGCTCCCCGCTGTGTTAAGGACGGATTCCTTGCATTACAGGCACCAGAAAATGGCCGCCCTATGCTGGACAGTGAGGTATTTAGCCCATTAGAACGCATTAACCGTTTTTAATGCATTCTAATGTTTTTTTTTTACTTTCACTTGACGACAATTTCGTTGTACAGCGATTTTGCTGGAACGGATTATCGTCATCAAGCGAGGAACCACTGTATACAGAAGTTCGTTTCTATTTTGATTTTTCAGGGGATGGGTAGCCTTGAGGGTCATTTTATTATAAAGCTCTTTCTCCTGGTGGTTTCCAGAGTGGAAAATGCACTCCCCCCCCCACCATTTCTTTTTCCACTCTCATGAAGGCACCAGGGTGCTCAAAAACAGACTTGAGGGTACAAAGAGGATGTATTTCCCCTCTCAGTCAGGGCACACATAACATACGAGATGTTAATCATAAAAAAGATAGCACCTCATCTAGCAACTTCCATTCTGAAGGAAATCAACCCTGAGTGCTCACTGGAAGGACAGATCCTGAAACTGAAGCTCCAATACTTAGGCCATCTCATGAGAAGAGAAGACTCCATGGAAAAGACTCTGATGTTGGGAAAGTGTGAAGGCAAGAGGAGAAGGGGACGACAGAGGACGAGATGATTGGACAATGTCACCAAAGCTACCAACATGAATTTGACCAAACTCCAGGAGGCAGTGGAACACAGGAGGGCCTGGCGTGCTCTGGTCCATGGGGTCACACAGAGTCAGACATGACTTAATGACTAAACAACAAGAACATCTAGCAACAGTTTTGCATTTAGAAAGAAAAGCATGCCACACATTTCTGAGAATTCCAGAAGTAATATCTTAATCCTCTAAATGCAATATTTATGCAGGAAGAACAAAAAGTTGCGAATGCAACTTTTTCAGTCCTTTGTGCATTATAAAGAGTCCTTCAAAATCTCAGTCCATCCCATCAAGTTCCAAGCAAAGTCAAACAAGCACGAGATCTCTGATACACAGCAAGAGCCAAAGCCTTTTTAAAATGCAACCACAACTATGCACTTTATAGCAAAGGAACAAAGAGTACTAAAATTCTTGCATCAGTGTACCTGAGGTAATTTAACACTTCATGGCAACTGCACCATCATATAAAAAGTGCAATTAAAATAGTTCCAGTTTCTAACAAAAAAGGAGGGGAAGGGGAAGGAAGGGAAAATATGAAATAACATGTGAGAACCTCAAAATATTTGCATTTCCCAAAACAGTTTTAGAGGTGATTGAGAAGCATGAACTACTGAAAAAAAGAAAGCAGAAAGCAATGATAATAACAAAAAGGAATATACATTAGTGCAAAACAATTTCAGGGAAAGAAAATTAGTGAAAACTTCCAAATTGCATAATGATACAAGTTTTTATAAACTATGTTTATATCTGTTGGCAAAGTCTACTGAAAACTTGATGAATGTCATTTACAGACATTAAATATACATTTCTTGTGAAAAGTTGCCAAAAAAGGATGGCTTGTAACAACATGCAATTTTGGAAAATTATAATAATACCCATCATCAGTTAGCATGTGTTTAAGTTTCTGCCTGAAGTGTAATAATCTTTATTCTTTTATGTGAACTTAATTAAAATTCTGCTACTTAAAGAAGTTAAATATTACATATTTTCTGTGACAAGAATAAACAACTTTATTCAATATATGTAACTGTATTCCATTTTAAAATGTTGCACCTAATTTTTAGCTCTGTAGAGTCTGAGAAATTTTTAGCTCTCTGTAGAGTCTGAGATACCGTACAATTGTACTCATTTCACACGCTAGCAAAGTTATGCTCAAAATCCTACGAGGCAGGCTTCAGAAGTATGTGGATCAAGAACTCCCAGAAGTACAAGCTGGATTTCGAAGGGGTAGAGGAACTAGAGACCAAATTGCTAACATGTGCTAGATTATGCAGAAAGCCAGAGAGTTCCATATACTTCTGCTTCATTGACTACGCAAAAGCCTTTGACTGTGTGGACCACGACAAACTATGGCAAGTTCTTAAAGAAATGGGAATGCCTGACCACCTTATCTATCTCCTGATAAATCTATATGTGGGACAGGAAGCAACAGTTAGAACTGGATATGGAAGAACTGATTGGTTCAAAATTGGGAAAGGAGTCAGACAAGGCTGTATATTGTCCCCATACGTACTTATTTAACTTATATGCAGAATACATCATGCAAAAGGTAGGACTGGATGAATTCCGAACTGGAATTAAGATTGGTGGAAGAAATATCAAAAACCTCAGATATGCAGATGATACCACTCTGATGGCAAAAAGTGAGGAGGGATTAAAGAAGCTCTTAATAGGTTAAAAGAGGAGAGCGCAAAAATGGTCTGACGGTCAACATCAAAAAAACTAAGATCATGGCCACTGGTCCCATCACCTCCTGGCAAATAGAAGGGGAAGATATAGAGGCAGTGACAGATTTTACCTTCTTGGGCTCCATGATCACTGCAGATGGTTACAGCAGCCACAAAAAGACAACTGCTTCTTGGGAGGAAAGCGATGACAAACCTACACAGCGTCTTAAAAAGCAGAGACATCACCTTGCTGACAAAGGTCCACATAGTCAAAGCTATGGTTTTTCCAGTAGTGTTGTATGGAAGTGAGAGCTGGACCATAAAGAAGGCTGACCGCCGAAGAATTGATGCTTTTGCGTTGTGGTGCTGGAGTGCAAAGAGGACAAACCTATCCATTTTGAAGGAAATCAAGCCTGAGTGCTCACTGGAAGGACAGATCCTGAAGCTGAGGCTCAATACTTTGGCCATCTGATGAGAAGAGAAGACTCCCTGGAAAAGACCCTGATGTTGAGAAAGTGTGATGGCAAGAGGAGAAGGGGATGACAGAGGATGAGATGGATGGACAGTGTCATCGAAGTGACCAACATGAATTTGACCCAACTACAGAAGGCAGTGGAAAACAGGAGGGCCTGGCATGCCCTGGTCCATGGGGTCACGAAGAGTTGGACAAGACTTAACGATTAAACAACAACAACAAAGAGTCTTGAGTTGTACCTGAGAAATTGTAACTCATTGCTATGTAGCACAATCATAAGTAGGTTGACTTAAAAGTGAATCAACTGGTATTTAATGGGGATTATTTCTTAGCAAATGTGTTAAGGACTGTAGACTTGGTACAGCCATTATTTAATTCTGTATTGATACAAGCAACAAAACAGATGGACTTGTATATTTTTTATGATAATGGATTCTTCCAGCACTATTACATGCCTTAAATATATACATATACATAGAAAACCTTACCTGTGAATCTAGGTTCTTGCGAGAGGATGCAGGTGTGTTGGCATAAGAGCTGATAGAGGAGCTTGTGTTGATGTCATCAGTGCTGAGGTTATCTATGGTGTCACTAATCCCACTGCTGACAGAACTACTATCATCCCAGCTGAGGAGAGAAAGAAAAGGTCCATAAAAATAACTCAGATAAGACATTGTCACAGCTACCATCAAGGGAAAGGATATCAAAAGGCACATTTAAAAAAAATCAGGAACAACCAGTGATTGATTCAAACTACTGCCAACATTTTGAGAGAAAACTGAAAGTTTTCCCGGGAAACTTCCTCAACTTTCCCAGTTCATGCAGCTTTTAGAAGTATGAATAAAGCTGAGCTTCTTCTTAGAGTATCTCCAATGCAACACATAACTGTTTTAGTTTAATAATAACTAAGCTTAATAATTTTTATTTTAAATGTTTATATATAACCCAGCTGGCAAGGCGCTCGCATAAATTAGCAATTAAATTGGTAAACTAAAATAAAACTAAACTAAAAACAACCAATCAAAATCACACATTTTACAGTAAAAACAAATCAACTGAGGGTGCAACTACGCTGTCAAATTAAATTGCGAGGTAGTTTGGGTCTTTAGAAATTGATTTAATGTCATGTCTTTTTTGTGACAGTATCTACATCCTCATGGAACAGCTTTTAGTGTGGCCATAATTTTGATGGTATATTGTCACTCCAGATCCAGTTTTTCCAAGTTCTTCCTCTGTCCTCTGAACAGTTCTTCACTTCAAAAGTACCGCTTTGTACCTTTTTGAGTTGCAGCTTGCCTGCCTTGTGACTATTTATTAAAAATATTTTTACCCCACATTTTTCTCTAAAAAGCACCCAAAGTGGCTTATATCAGCAAAGGATATTTAAAAGGTAAAAACAATACTACTACCACCACTACTGCTGCTGCTGTTGCTACTACTACTACTGTAGCAGTAGTAATAGTAGTAGTAGTGGTAGTAGTAGCAGCAGCAGCAGCAGTAGTAGTAGTAGTAGTAAGCTTAAGCCTGCAGAGCCGGAAGGAAACCTATGGATCATCGGGTCCAGCTCCTCTCAAGGAGGCACAGCAGGTAACTGAACTCCTGACCTCCAGCTTTGTATCCAGATGCAGAAACCACAGAGCTTTCCAGCAGTTCAGTGAATATAAAAATATTTTAAAAGAACCAAACAATTACCACACTAAAATGGTAAACAAGATGAACACAAAAAACATTCAAAGCAACAAAGCACAACACTTGAACCTCTCTCGGACAGTCATTCACTAAGGAAAAAACTGCCTGAAGAGAAAGATCTTTGTTGGGGCCACCCTGGCCTCTCAGGCGAGGGAATTCCAGAGTCGTGGAGCAACAACAGAAAAGGCCCCCCCTTCCATCTGTCTCTACACCAAATGCACCTGCAAGGGTGGAACCAAGAGAAAGGCCTTCCCTGATTAACTTAACTCACAGGCAGGCTCATCAAGGGAGATACCGTTTTTGAGAAACAGTTCTTGGACCCAAACTCTTTAGGGCTTTGGACCCAAGTACTTTGAATTGTGCCCAGAAATGGATCAGCAATCAATGGAACTGCTGTAATGGAGGGTTACATGTTCCCTGTAGCCAGCCCCAGTTAACACTTTGGTGGCAGCATTTTGGACCCACTGGAGTTTCTGAACACTTTCCAAAGGCATCCCCTTCACCCCACCTACAGCACATTACGTCATCCAGCTGGGATGTAATTAAGGCATGAGTCCTGTGGCCGGGTCAGACCTCTCCAGGAACGGTTAAAGCTGATGCACTAGTTTTCACTGTGCAAAGGCACTTTTGCCCACTACTGAAACTTGGTTTCACCAAGATGCCCTGCAGTCTAAAGTTGGCACATAGAACTCATTGACACTATTTGCTCCAGTACAGATGATCACGTTTGCCAAAAAAGGAAGAAAAGAATTAAAAAATGCACAACAGAATCCACTGGCTGAAAGCACATAGTTGTGTAGTTGGAGATTTTTAATTTTATTTAATTTTGTTTTAATCCAACGCAAGAACATGAATATTATGATTTATAGTTGAGTCCCAAATTGATGAAAGAGTGAAAAAAAACTTTAGCAGTAAAAACAAAACTAAAATAAAGATCAAGAAGTGAATGTCTGCTGGAAAAAGGTCTTAGCCTTGCATCTGAATGCTGCTAAAGAGGATGCATCAGAAACCTCTCCTGGGAAGTCATGCCACAGACATTTGTGAGAAGTTTCTGTCTCTGATAGCCCCCTGTTGCACCAATGTGGAAAGCAATGCTCCGAGGACCCCCCAAACAATGAGCACTGCACCCCCACACTATTAATGACATATTGTAAGTTTTATTATTTATTAATTATACAAGTTTTCTAAAGTTTCGGTAGCTTATTGCATTTTCTGTCACTATATTACAGTGAGAGAGGCAATTATTATTTTAATTTTACCCAAAGAGAAAAAAGCTAGCTGCTTGCCCCAAGCCAAATTCTAACATCAAAAAACAACATTCTTCAAGCCACTCTGAAAATCTCATTTCTGGGTTACTGTTCATTTAATTGATATGTCTGAAGGCAAGGGGAACATTTCCTCTATAACTAAACAATCATTCTCTCTAGGAAGCTTCACAGTATAATCTAGTCCTAAGAAAAAAGATGAACCATCTACATATCATTAACAATGATTATGCTGCATATTTATTATGCATGCATACTTTAAAATACATTTGCATGAACAACTCTGGCATTAGCTAGGCACCAGTTAGGTATATGTACTGCACATTCAAGAGAGTACTAAACCACCATGTTCATTTTCCAGACACAACAGCAACATAGCTGTGGAGGTTCTCCATGGAAGTCAGAACTCTAATTTTTCCATGTTCTTCCTTGCATGAGGAGCTTTTATTGACATTACATGATCTTCTCTTCAGATACATAGTCTTCACATCAGGATACCAATGATCTGGAGGGGAGAGTGTGTTCCTCTCCCTGAATGTAGAGTACACATGCTTTATTAATACCTGAACTAGGCCTGCTATGTATGTATATTTCCCCCCACCTTATGAGCACCTCAGAGAAGTAAAAAGTGTAATATGTAAAGCAACAATTAGGAAGTTGAGAAGCACAATTCAGAAAATAGCAACTAACAGATGAGGTAAATCTTTACTGGTTTGAATAGGAATGCGGTCCTGTGCCTAAGACCCCCTTAAAATGTACCTCTAATCACTCCACTTAAAAGTACCTGTCAGGAGGATATGCTCTTTCATCAAGGCTCTCAACACCTAGATAATCAGTATCATTTCCAGACTCGGCTGGGGAAGGGTTAGGAGAACGGGGTGAATCAGAAATTCATTCAGAAGTTGCCAGCTGGCTTCGGTTTCCAGAATTTCAACCAAAGAGTGATTGTATCCTTCAACTAGTAAATAATCTTGCCAACCGTTAAACCTAATGCTAAAACAAGGAATTTACTGTTCAAGACTAGCAACCTGGAGCAAGAGACTGGATTTTTTTTCCAGTTCTCTGAATATTAAATAAAACCTCCCCTAATAACTGCATATGTAACAGAAAAACTATAACCAATCAAATGTGAACTATATTAAACATAAACTGCTAACAGAAGATTTGGAAACAAAAATTTAATATTTATAAAGTCTCCAGAGGAGGCTCTAGAGATTTATTAAGGACTGACCCAGCTGTTCACAATATGTTCTGGGATATATCATATAAAGAACAGTTGGGACAGACAAGCCCTGAAGACGTCTGCTGAGGCTGAGTTTCACCAATTTCAACAGAACACCACTTTCAGTCAGGCTTAAGGCCCTGTTCAGTTGCATTTATTTCCTGTCTCCAAATCATAGTCCACTGATCAGGAATGTGCTATGAGCTTATGGACTTCCTTCTCCCTTCTCTTTTTCTCTCTCTCTCACACAGTTTGGTTTAACCACTATTTCACCATCTGGTTTTAGCAAAATCCTCTTGTAAATATAAGACCTGGGGCCCCAGTTAATATCAGCCATGTTCCTTTCCTTGCTTAGCATTTTATTGTGGGCCATTTTGTCAATCAGTAACAAACTGCAGGTTCAGCATCTTCTGCTCCAACACATTAACCCCCACAACCTTCTGGTCTCTCTAACAGTTAGTTTCGGTTGCGGGGGAGAGCTCTAAAGGGTCAAAATAAGACACAGGAGATTAAAAAAGCTGGAATTGAAATTTTAAAAAAATTGGGTAGCATATGGTTGTAGGAGATGTCTAGGAACTACAGTGCAGAAGCACGTATCAGCTATGAGCTTCACTTCACTCTTCACGAATTAGAAAGTCTAGTAATGGTTCAGATGTAAAAACTAACTACAATAAACGCCCATGATAACATCTATATGTAAGAAGGAAAGGATTGTAAAAAGGATTGTGTCATATCATACTTATTGATAAAGGACCTATTTGTTTCCTTTCAAACCAACAAACCTATTCTCCACAACTACAAACAAAACCCTGTTTTACTAAGTAATCTGTTGTGCAACAAGGGTGAGAACACTATACAGAGAGAAAAAATGGATGGATCTAAGAGTACACTTAAGTACTCTTCTCTTAACACAATTGAATTCCAAAATAGTACCATCAATTCTTAAACACTTGTTTTTTTTAAAAAAAATGCATTTAATTTTTTTCTTTTGTACTTCCTGTAACAGCCTGCCTAATTATATCACTTCAGAGCCTATGAGCAATGATGGGCTCTTTGCAATTTAGCTGGGCAATTAATAACCTCCGATGCCAACAAAAAATTATTTAGCCATAACCTGAGACATTGTGTACCTCATTTTATTCACTTGATCAATCAGATGGATGCTGGCAAGTATGTGAGCACTTAGCATTGTTTATATCCCGTATTAATGGAAAACACGATTATTAAAAAGACTGAAGTTCAAACATCTGAAAGATAAGACATTGCATTTGGAAAGAAAGTGAACTGTCAGAAGATGAGTATGATGGATCTTTAAATAGAAATAGATTCAACTCAGTGTGTAATATCTATAAATATTGGCTGAAACCCTGGTGCTTCATATGGTAAGATGCACTAGAGTAGGCCCTTTGAATCAGCGGGGGTTTGGTGAGTAAACTCTGTAAGTTCCACTG